AATATTATTGAATGAGACCCCAGGACCCACATGGGTGAAGGAAATAATGGACTCCTGAAAGTTGTCTTCATATCTTCACATGAATATGGTGTTACACACACACACACACACACACACACACACACACACACACACACAAACACACACGTTATAAAAGTTTTCCTTTTAAAAAAAAGTCAATTTTGTTCAATTTTATTGCTTCCTTGTCATTGAAAAGGAAAAAAAAAGTTTGTCTTGTGTATAACTATACAATCAGCCCTCATGTCCATAGTTCCCATGTCCATGGATTCAATCAACTTTTGGTAAAAATATTTTTCAAGTGTCTGTACAGGACTGAATATTTATACTTTTCTGTGGTTATTCTCTAACACATTATTCTCTATTACACTACAGTATAACACATATTAATGCGGCATTTTTATTTCATCATAAGACACCTTGAGATGATTTACTCTATGGGTCACGTGCATAGCTGAAAACACTATGTGAGATGTGGCCATCTTAGAGCTGGATATGGGCAGCAGGTTCTCAGAACAATCCCCTAGTGTCAAGGGATAAGTGAACTACCTCACTGTTTTCCCGACAATCAGAAACTTCTGTCTGGCCAGACTTGGATGAAACCAGTCTCCCTTTATAATTTTGCACAGCAGGTAAATTAGTGGTTATGAAAATATTCTACAAAGTGTCTTCTGGCTCCATGCAGCTCTTCATCTCTCACAAACACCCTTCAGATAGCAAGTCTATTGAATACGTTTCTACCTCGTTAGAGCATCTGGCTGTACACCACTGGGTCATGGCGTGCTAGTGAGTTGGGACAGTGGTCAGGATCTGTCCCCAGAAGCAGTTCCTCCATCATAGCAGCTACTGATAAATGGAGCTGGCTGCAAATAACAAAAGTACGTGACCATGTGAAGAGGTTGCTTAGGTCCACCCTCAGAACTTACAAAGTACGTGTGAAAGGAGAGATTCTGGCATTAGACTCAGTTTGACAGAAAAAAATCAGAAACTAAGACAAGAGTACAAATAAATCAAGTGATAGCGATCCAGGCACTTAGACCACCAAGGAACTGTCTGAAAGCCTGTTAGTATGTGAAAGGAACGGTGAATGACATATACACCCCGGCAATAAATTAAGGACCAGAAAAGGTGCCCCAGATGGTGCAATGAGAGGTGGGGAACTCATCTGCAGATTGTGTGGCAGCTGTGGGGAGCACAGTCATTGGCTGAGAGGACTGAGGAGGCAGAGGGGTCCCGATAAGGAGCCACATTTAATTCTGAAATGATGAAGGGAAATTGTGAAGTGTATCATGCATTTTCCTAAGCATAGGCTGAAATGTCAAAGGACACACATTACGTCACAACCTTAATGCATACCTGTGATTTCCTGGCTGTTGACGTAGAGTGGAGGAAGATTTTTCTAGGCTAATGCACATTCTTCTAAGTGTAACTAACAGAGTCCTGATCAGCATTACATATTTCATTACAATATATTATATTATACATATTATACAAAAATATATATATTACATTACAAAGTACAGACCAATATTACATTTACACACACATATATACATACATACATAAGTATGTATATATGTGTATATACATGTGTCTGTTTGTGTGTGTGTTACATTAAAAAAACTATTCTAGAGGTTAGCAAGATAAGTTAGAAGTGATACCCCTGGGCACAGCCAACTATCCTATTGAGGGAAGATTGTGGGTTAGGGCTAGTAGGGCCAGGATTAGACTCTGATCTGTACTTTATTTCTTACTCTAGGGTAATAGTGGTTCATTGTAAAACATGAAAGAGCTAAAATATGAATAAAGCAAGCCTTTTTTTTTATCAGTAGGTTCCAGATCAGTGGATTCAACCAGTCATAGAAAATGTTAGATAAACTATTCTATATGTACTGAACATGCATTGATTTTTTTTCTTTTCAATATTTCCTGAACAATTCAGTATAAAGGCTCTTCACATAACTTTTGCACTGTATTAAGCAAAACAGTTTACATTTTTATTATTTGTACTTATATTTGTGTGTGTGTGTGTGTGTGTGTGTGTGTGTGTGTGTGTGTGTGTGTGTGTGTGTGTGTGTATGAGCTTGTATATAGTGGATGTACGGGCTCATATGTGTGCTGGTTCAAATGAAGGTCAGAATATAGTGTGTTATCCCCTGGAGCTGGAGTTACAGTCCACCATTAGCTACCTGATATGGGTGCTAAAAGCTAAACCCAGGTCCTCTTCAAGAGCAGCAAAGCGCTTTTAAACACTGACTTATTTTGCCAGCTTCTCTATAAAACATTTTTAGACATTCACTCGACAATAATATGAGAGGAGAAAAGGGAAGGTACTAATAGAGGATTTGGTAAAAATAAGATGTTTTAGGGTTGGAACATTGCTATGATTACCTGGAAACTTAATATACTCTTGTGTCTATTTTTATATACTGCATTTCAAATTTTCCATAATAAAGTCTTAAGAAATAACTTTCATCAAACAGTATGATAAACGATATCTACTTAGTCAAAATTTGTTCCAATTACATAAGTACTTTTGCTAAATTTGAGAAATATGGTGGTATGAGGATTTGTGGGTCCAGCTCTCATATTATTTATGCCTTAGAAAACAATGAGTTTATTAACTCCCTCAAAAATTATGTTTATAGGTAAAAGGATTGGTGAGCCATATTGGCATTTGGGTTTTAGCATGAGAATAATATGACTGTGTCAGTCATTGAGGTTGATATTACTAGAAAAGGAATGGAAGATGTGTAAGTGTGGCGTTATTAAGCTGTAAGGTGCTGTGGGATGTTCTGTATGGCAAATGTGTTGCTGATTAGTCAATAAATAAAGCACTGATTGGCCATTGGCTAGGCAGGAAGTGTAGGTGGGACAAGGAGGAGAATAAAGCTGGGAAGTGGAAGGCTGAGTCAGAGAGACACTGCCAGCCGCCACAATGACAAACAGCATGTGAAGATGCCGGTAAGCCACGAGCCATGTGGCAAGGTATAGATTAATGGAAATGGATTAATTTAAGCTGTAAGAAAAGTTAGCAAGAAGCCTGCCACGGCCATACAGTTTGTAACCAATGTAAGTCTCTGTGTTTACTTGGTCCGGTCTGGTCTGAGCGGCTGTGGGACTGGCAGGTGAGAGAGATTTGTCCTGACTGTGGGCCAGGCAGGAAAACTCTAGCTACAGTAAGGTGTGGTCTGTATTAGTTACTCTTCTCACTGTTCTGACAAAATACTTAGCAAAAGCAGTGGAAGGTAGGAAGGGAGGGAGAGAGGGAGGGAAAGAGGGAGGGAGGGAGGGAAGAGAGAGAGAGGAAGGAAGAGAGGATGGGGTTATTTGGTCCACAGTTCAGAGCAATGCAGTTCATCATGGATGGGAAATCATGGCAGCAGGAGGGTGAAGCGGTTGGTAGTGTTACATCCTCAGTCAGGAAGCAGGGAATGATGAATGCAAACACTCAGCTGGCTTTCTCTGTTCAATCCTGGGCCTCCAGCTCATGGAACAGTGCTGCCTGCCAACCATTGAGGTCGATCTTCTCGACTTAAGATACAATCTTTCACATCCAGAGTTACGTATCCTAGTTGCTTCTAAATCCAGCTCAATTGATAATGAAGAACCCCTTCAGCAGCGTTCTCAGTTCAAATTCTCTCCTTTCAATTCAAATGAACTCACAGGTTCACAACTTGGAACCTGGGGCTTCCCACCCCCCCTCCCATCAGTGGGATTTCTTTTTAATACATTTACCTTGAACAGTGATAGCTTCTTTATCCATATCTGACCTATCCAAATCTTTGAGCTCATTTACATTTCCTCAAAAAACTACACATTTCCCACATCTTTCGGAACTCTTTAACTGTAGCTCTAAGAGCAGTAAGAAGTAACCACAATGTCACAATGTCACAGCCTGGGTGTTATGCCGTCTTTTGTTTTTTTCAAGACAAGATTTCTCTGTGTAGCCCTGGCTGTCCTGGAACTCACTCTGTAGCCCAGGCTGGCCTTGAACTCAGAGATCCACCTACCTCTGCCTCCCAAGTACTGGGATTAAAGACATGCACCACTACTGAACTCTACCAAGACAGGGTAAGATGGTCTTTCAAAATTCCTGCTTCTGATAACGGTCTGACAGATACTCTAGGCCTGCAGCCAAATTGGATGCCCCAATGGTGCTGAGAAACTTTAGATGACTGTCCAGGATGCCAGCTGTCTGTCTATTCTCACAAGATTCCTGAAAGTTGCTTGGTGCATTTCCCATTTTCTCAGGTATTATTATATTCCTTCTCAAGTCTTTGATGGGGTTGAAGACTTACAGTTACAGTTACGATCTTCTCGTATCTTAGCTAGAACATATTAAGAACTAGATTCATATTCTTCAGGATAGGACAGCTTTTGGAATAATCTCTGTAACATTCCACTTACCTACGTTCTGGACATCTCTGGATTTCAGTATGTGTCTCTTGTTTGATGTTGTTTCTTTGGTTGTAGTTCCATTTTTGTTTATGTCATTATCCTTTATTTCTCCTGGACTATACTTGATAATCATTCCTATCGCATATAGTTTTGTATTCGGTTAGGACTTTCTTAGATAAAAGGGGGAGATGTAGTGGGTAGCTGTTCTAGCTATGATCTTGAAGCACACACACTACCCCCCAGAGAGGCACCAGGTGACTGCTACACATGCCCATGACCTTGAAGTACATACCCTTAGGGTATGGCCACTTGGGACCCTTAAGACCTGGGATGCACGTGTGCATCACTCTCTTGGCTCCCTCATGGTTTGGATGCTGGGACTGATGAGGCAGAGCTTGGACCAGGCAGATCAGCGTGGGACATAGCTAGGCTTTCCTGGACCCTATGATAAATCTCCTGTGCTGTAGTGAATTAATAAATTCCTTTGCTCATTAAATAGACTCCATGGATTTCTCGCTTTAAATCCATGCTACTAATAATGTAATAACCTGAAGATACCAAATGAGAGGGCAGATTTATGATGGTGCATAAAATTCTTTATTTAGAACAATAAAGTATATGTTTATATAATGTAATTTCAAATTCAAACCTGTATAAAAAGGGTCAGGACATATACCTATTTTAAAAAGTACACATACAGTATATACACATACACATCACATTTTACAACTTTTATTTAATTAAACTTCAGTCATAAACTATTTAGAATAGTGTTGACATACATTTACATTACAATATGCAAACTCCAATCTATGACTGAACTAGCAATATATCTGTGAAGCCATCTAAATGTCTGAATACTTCTCAAGTCTAGTGACTTAAAAAACAGTGGCAGGTGGACACAATAATCACACACCAATCCCTAGACTACTGGAAAATAAGACTATAGGAATTTTGATTGGAAAATTTTATTTAGTGAAGTCTTAATACCCTAGAAATTGAGTAAATGAAAATACCATGTTTTTCTGTTTAAACAATTTTCTTTTTCTAAAAACAGTATTATAAGAAAATATTTGGAGATGGCAGTTGTGCATTTACGATGCTTAATAAACGTTTTAGGATCATAAATATCCACCTTAGTATGGATCACTCCAAAACACACACCTGTTATAAAAGAGGTGTCGTTAATTTTATTCTGACAAAGGCATTTTAAGACCGGCTAGTGGAAGGCAGTAACATGAGTTGTGTAATCAGATTCCATAAATAAATTTTGATCTGAATGGTTACATTTAAAGCCAATTTCCCAGTATCATTCCAAAGATAAACCAGCTTACTTTAAAATTCGTGTCCTACTTTTCCAATTTTAAATGTAATTTATGGATTATCACTTTACAGATTGGCTCAAAAACATCTCTTGGCATCCAAGATCCTTAGTAGCACCCTACATTTTTTTTGTTCTTAGCTTTCAATAAAATGGGAACATTTACATTCATCCTCAGACACATCTCCAAACGTTACACACCATCTTGCCTCTCTTCCTGATTGAAAATGCACTACCGGTTTCCCTTCCGCAGAGGTGATCCCAAACTTTTACTTAAGCAAAGGTAAAAGCCATCTCACATGTAAATGGTTATCCAATTCACCCTACTTAAAACTGAGTTTCACTTTTACTAATGGACCCTATCTACATTAGAAACTAAAACAGAAAGGACTTCTCCCGGACCAAACGCTTATGAAGAAGCCAGAGGTGGGTATTTTGCCTAGGATTGTTTCTGCTGTTTTCTCTGCTTTGTGAATTGTGTGGCATAAGGGCTCACTCCTGAAGAGTGACCTCAGAGCTTACCCACACACAAATACAAAGTGAGATCCAGACAGGGAGGTGACATATTATATCTGTAGGTGGCAAAGCAGAGCCCCCTGAAGATCTTTCTCAACAGTCATCTGACTACATCTAACTGTCAAATTTAAAAAATACATTTCTTCAAGAATGTGTATAGGATAGCTAAGATTCCATATCAGAATTAAGTCACAAAATCAAAATCTATTGTAGAAACACAGTAGAAACAATCTCGATTCCACCCATGGATTTTTCTGTTCATTTATAACTTCAATTGAATTAAAGAACCAAACTATGCCACACTGGTTTTTTTTCTAAGCACATGAAAGTTCACTGAAATGTGTTTATTTCTTAACTAAAAGCATAGACTTCATTGTGGATACATACTTTTACATATTTCCACGTTTTCTCAATACTTTTTGTAGTGCAGGTTTATTACTGTATAGAAAAATTAATTTTTCTCTGATTCATTACAATGTGGCAGTGTGTTAAGTATGTTAAATAACAATACAAAAACCAGAATTGCTCTAGCACAACCCACAGATCACACAGATAGTATTGTTATAGGCTTGATTTCTACTGAGGAGGTCCGAAGCTTTCAATACAACTCGCACTCAGCAGATTTCTTAGATTGTTTTCATTAAAAAGCAACTCTTAAACATTACAAAAGAGAACTCTTGGGAAAAAAAATGGGCCAATTGAAAGGGCAATTTTGCACATTATCTTCTCAGCTGTAAGGTTTTCATAATTTAAGAAAAATATTCAGAACACACATGGAATAAAATATGCAAAGATATGTATTTTTATCTGAAAGCAGGTACGCCATAGGCCATAGTTAATGTCCGAGCAGCTAGTATTCAAAATAATGTTCAGCATTTTCCTATCGTTCATGCATTTTATTGAACCTTAGTATGTTAAAAAAATTGACAGTCCATGTAACTCTCAATGAACCAACATATTTAATAGGCAGGACACATCTTCCACCCGATACCATATCAGATTTTATAACCTGTTAAATTTGTTTACTCCGCACTATTGATTAAAACCATGTTTTTGAGCGTTAAAATCCAACTGCTAGCTGTGAGAACCGACGTGTATTTATTGTACTCTCAAGCTCAGTGAACAACATTGTCCTAAGCCTGAGCAAAATGAAACTGCCAGGTAAATAAATCAAGCCACAAAACTGAGAAATAGCAGCCTCAGTCTATTTACACCTACCTACACCTATGATTTGCGCTAACCTACATCTATTATTCTTCTCAAAGCAAACTAAATGCCAAACAACAAAATAGGCCCTTTCAGGAACTAACCTGATTTCTCAGCTGCAGCCTGGGATAGGTGAGGGCTTGAACAAGTAAGTGTAGTGTCTCAATGCACTTGGCTTCATCTTGTGGGAATGACAGCATTGGAGGACCCTCGGAGCTGTAGATAAGGAACTATAGAAACGATCTCTTTGGCATAAAGAGGAGCAGCAGCCACGTACTGGAGTTGTATTTGGACTAGCTCTGAATGTAAGCTAGGCTTTTTCATGCACTTTCAAGACAGAATAGAAGCTAGCAGTTAGGTCTCCATGCAGTTTTGCATAATTACATTGAAAATGGTTGTCTCAAGGTTTTGGTACAGGGCACATAAAATTATTACAAGGATTAAGAATAAAAAGCTTTAAATTTTGTATACGTCTAGAGTAGGTGAAAAGAACCTTCACCAAAATAAAAGCAAAAGAAAAGTCATTCTTTGATTTTAGTCAATTGTTCTCACTATTTAAGAAAAAAAAAAAAAGGACCAGGGGAATCCACAATATATCTTGCAAGTTCTGGTTTTTAAAAGCACAATGTTCATTGTGGAATTACTGCCCATTTCTGTCTAATATGAGAAATGCTGTCACACATTTTAAATAGCAAACTGACATGCATAACTACATAAAGCTCTCTTTTTATTTCGTTTCATAAACCTTAATGAATATAGTGTCTGATTTTAAATAAATGGATACTTTAAAGAGATAATGGTTACACTGTAAATAATGTTTTCTGAGTCCTGGCATTCTTGTACAAACCCAGTTACTTAGTTTGCAACACCCATATTAGCATAAAGTGTACATTTCTAACCGTAGGTACGACATACCATCATTTATTCTCTCCCATGAGTAACTTCTTTTAAACAATGGGACTTATTACACATTCAGCATTTTCTCCCAAGTCTGTTTTCATCTCTCTGTAGTAGTTTCCAAACATAAACATGTCACATTATATTTTTGCAAACATGATTTACACACTCTAGAGTGGTGGTCAAGGGGAAAGACCGGCTTCACTAGGGGCCAAATGTCTTCCTTGGCATGCTCTTCTGCTGGTCCAGGTCTACAGTTTTCTGCTGTGATGACCGTACTAGAGAGTCTTCCGTATACCATGGCATCATACTTCAGTTCAGCACTGGCTCTGCTGCGTGGATAGAACCAGTCAACCATGTCCATTTTCCTGGCGGGATATGGTGCACATGGTTTACCTCAGGAAGAGCCGAAGAAGCTTAGGCTCCTCTTGCGAATCACAACTACTGAGCAGATACACCTGTCCAAAAAAAAAAAAAATACTCCCCATGGCTTTCAACTCCAAACAGTGGCTGATGCTGTGGAGTTATTGTTTTTAAAACTGTTTTCTACATCCCTTTGTGAAAAAAAAAATTCCCCCCGCCCCCACTATCCAGGCTGAGATCTACTTGCAGAGACCAGAATTAATTACAGACGGCAGGTTGTAACTGAAGAACAAAGCTGTGTGGGTTTTTTCAGCACTTAGACATTTCTCAAGCCTTGCAAATGGCGCAAGTGGACTAGACACGTGTTCTCTTCCCCATCATCACTTGCAAAACCTCCAGAGTCCTGCTCCACGTAAATTCTTCTTTGTAGATGATAAATTCAGTGCCAGTTTCACTGCTAAACGCTCAGCTCCAACTTCGGAATCATCCGTACAAAGTCACGGGTAGCAAGAACAGACACAGATGAGGGCTGTCACTTGAGACAGAATAGGCATGTGTTTAAAGCTGCTTCATTTATGAAGCAAACATGAACTGTCACCAGCCTGGAGAGGGAGAAAGAGGAGAGGGATTAAGATGTGTCTTCCTGCCTTCTTCCCCTTCTCGACAGCTAAATTCACAATTCACATAAAACCCCAGAATGAGTAACAGAGTTGATAACATGTGTTACACTTGAAGAACTGGTAGGATTTTTTTTTTTAAATCAGCTATGATGATCAGCCACTGTCTCCTTGGGAAGACATATTATCTCAAATGATCTTATTTATGATCCGTTGTCCACTTCTTCCCACTAGACTATAAGCTCTATAAGGTCAGATGACTGGTCTATTATCCTCATTGTTGCAGTATGACTCTCAGAACAGGGCCCGGCACGTGGTATGACATACACACAGCAAATATTCCCTGAACGTAAGAATGGATAAATTTCACTGCTTCTCTGTTCACGATAGGAAGAAAATGCATCCAGCCTAGGTGTACATTAAACAGGTGGATGGATAGCTAAATGTGAGGCCTATACACAATGAAATTTTATTCAGCCATTAAAAAAAAGGGAAATTACGATGTAGGAAAATGGTTTGATCTTGAATGTATACTATTAAGTGAGGGAACCCAAATTCAGAAAAAAAAAATCAAACAATGTGTGGTCTTCTATACACACACACACACACACACACACACACACACACACACACACACATGCATGCTCACGCACACACACACATGCACATACACATACATTTGCACACACATGCACACTCAAATGGGATGTGGATAAAACCTAAGAAGCTATAAAGGAAACCAGGAAGGGCAAAAATAGGGACTGAGGAAGGATGGGGGTGGGGTGGGGAAAAGGACATAAAAGAGATGTGGAAGTGGAAGAAATGATGGCGGCGGGGTGGGGGAGTTGGCTGTTACAAGATGAGGACATCCTGCTCATTTCATGAGTATGCTGCAAAAATCCAAGGTAGCATTGTAAAAATAATTGCATTATTCCCCCTATGGAAAAACAGCTGTAAACAACAGAAAGGTAGGAGAAATGAGGAGGCAGAGAACCAAAAGGATACTTTGTTCAAAAATATTATAATAACATAAAAATAGAATGATGATCATTTGAAAATTAAAAATAATAAGAATTGGATAAGTGGGCTGAGGAGATGGCTGAGCTGATAAAGTGTCTATCAGTCAAGTATGAGAACCCGAGTTGGTCACCAGAACCTATTTTGGAAATTGTGTGTGTGTGTGTGTGTGTGTGTGTGTGTGTGTGTGTGTGTGTGTGTGTGTGTGTGTATTTATGTATATTGGTGCTTTCTTTCCACACAGAAGAGGGCATGGGGTCCTTACAGACCGGTTGTGTCAGATCCCATTATTGATAATTGTTTGATCTTGAGTGTATCTCGAATATATCGCTCACACAAACACACACACAGATATGCACATACATACATACATACTATATATAATATATATTATATATATAATGTGGTGATATTTTATTTGTGCTGAAATGTGACATTTTATTTGTATGCTAATAAATAAAGTTTGCCTGGAGATCAGAGTTCATAGTCAGCCATAAACATAAGTCAGGCGGTGGTAGCACATGACCTTAATAGATCACATGGCAGGCCGAGTCTCTCTGTGGTCAAGGACACAGCCAAGCGTGGTGACACACGCCTTTAATCCCAGTACCAACCGTAGAGACTTGGAGGTCTGTATAGACAGGCAGTGACAAGGAAGTGATGTGGCTGGGCTTATAGTCAATGAGAAGGCAGAACAGGAAGGCAATAAAGGCACAGGTTAGACAGAAAGAGGCTCTCTTGGGAAGCTACAGTGACGTGGTGAGCTGAGGTTAGTTGGCAGCTATTGCTCTGATCTCGACGGCTTGCACCTCTGTATTTGGCTCTGTGTTTCTTATTTAATAAGACTGTTCAGAAATTCATCTACAACACACACACGCACATATGGCCATACCAAAGCCCATTTCTTTGTAAGCTAATAAAAATAATATTTAAATGAAAAAAAAATCCAGATGTGGTAGCATGTACTTGTAACCCCAGTGGGGATGGGTAGATCCCTGGACATCACTGGCCGGCCAGCCCAGATGAATTGGCAATCTCCAAGTTGATAAAAGACATTGTCTCAGAAAACAAGACGGATGGCACCCAGAGAATGAGAGTCAGGGCTGCTCTCTTGTCTCAACATGCACATACGCACATGAACACACATGCACGAAGGAACAGAATGAATAAATTGATATCCCGTGACTTTCATGCCCCCGAACCCCCACTTATCTCAGTCTGTGACAGGAGAGTGAGTAATCTACGTAGCTTTGAAGTTCTCTAGCATACAGCATAGTAGACAGATGATGAGCAGAGAAGGTTTGAAGCCCAAGGAAGTGTCTGGAAAGTGCAGAGGTTGAGCCAGGTGGAGTGCCGTAGGAGACAGAGCTGCACTGGTGGAGAACCACAGTACTAGCCTCCTGCCAGAGCAGCTCCAGTGTTCTGGCTGCCTAGCTAGTTCTGAGCCATCTCTTCTCCCAGCTTCGGAAATCACAGCAACAGGCTCTCACTCGGTATTTCAAAACCAAGGAAGAACTGCTGAAATGCCTCATCACACGCTGAGGAATTCACTTGGCCTCAGTATAGTTTATTGTACTTGGTGAGACGCGAAAGGCATACTTTGTTTTCCTTTTTCAGGGCTGGTTTTAAACCACTGAATGCTCAGATATTTCTGCTTTCCAGTAATTTGGGAAAGCAGATTTAAATCCATACAGATAAATGAAGAGAGATTAAAGGAAAACTTCAAAAATATATAGGTTTTTAAAAATAGAGCACAGGCAAGCCAAGCAAACTGGAATAACAAGAAGCAAGGAAGCTATCCATAACTCAAAATTCTAGCATTAATTAAATATAGAGAAACCGGATTGGAAATCTATTTTGGATTTTTGTCCTTGAGTCACTAAAGCAAGGAAGAGAAAACTGAAGGCTGATGACAATTTTCCATCGAACAAAATTACAATTTCTTGATAATGATACCTTGGATCTTGCAACACATCCATGAAGTGGGTACTATGATTCCATCACTATACAATGACGTGTCACTTAATGATCGAGATGCAACCTTACAAACAAGTCGCTGGGTGATTGTGTTGTAGAAACAGTATAAGGTCTACAAATCTAGATGGGCTAACATGCCACACAGCGAGGCCACCTTATACTGGGGGCATTGTATTCTAATACCACCGTTAAGTGTGGTACATGGGCTGAAAGCTCAGCATGTGCTCTATGTCCACATAGGAAAACACAGAGGTTAAAAGATTCTAAGTCATCCAGGATGCTAGAACTAGTTTCGGAACCAAGGCCTGAACTCAGGCCTAACCGAACCATTTCTAATCGTTTGCTTTCTAATGCAGAAATGAAAGAAAACTCACAGGGAAAAAAAAAACAAAAAACAAAAAACTCCCCAAACCCAGACATTTTTAGAAAATATCTCATAAAGCAATCAGGGTCCTCAATGACTGATGACCTTCCATTTCTAAGCCTGCACCCTACATGTCCAGGCATGGCGTGAGCTTGTTCTCATAGCAAGTCTCAGATCCATTTCTCCCAGTGCAGCTCAGATCGACAGGAAAATTTTAGTGCGTCCTGTTTTTTTTTTTTTTTTTTTTTTTTTTTTGGTTTTTCGAGACAGGGTTTCTCTGTGTAGCTTTGCGCCTCTCCTGGAACTCACTTGGTAGCCCAGGCTGGCCTCGAACTCACAGCGATCCGCCTGGCTCTGCCTCCCGAGTGCTGGGATTAAAGGCGTGCGCCACCACCGCCCGGCGCGTCCTGTTTTTAACCTTCCCTTTACGGCTTTCCACTCCCATGTGTGTGTGTGAGTGGATGTATAAATATGAATTATAGTATATACATTTCCACAAAGACTTAAAATTTTATATATTGAAATTATAATAAATATATGAGAAATATATAGTGTTAAGACTTGATGAAATTAGAGTGATTTACTTTCTACTCTTACCATGGTAAAATAACTGAAAGTAACTTAAATGCATGCTACAAGTCCATGCTATTCAACCAGCAGCCTGAGCCTTCTCTGGGAGCCAACAATGGTTTCCCCAAGGTCTCCAGTAAGAATCTGTGTAGAGGACTCTCAAATTCCCATCGACAGTTCTAATCCCAGGTGACCTCCATACCTTGAAGGTCACTGTACGTGGTAACTTCTCAGAACTATCAATATCCATCAAGAGCTGTCTCTTGACTTCAGATATCCCATTTCTTTTCTTTCTTTTTTTTTCTTGGTTTTATGAGACAGGGTTTCTCTGTGTAGCTTTGGTGCCTTTCCTGGAACTCACTCTGTAGCTCAGGCTGGCCTCGAACTCACAGAGATCCACCTGGCTCTGCCTCCCGAGTGCTGGGATTAAAGATATGCACCACCACCGCCGGGCTCCACTTCTTTTAACAGCACCACCACCCTTTCTGTCTTCAATTCCCAATCACCGCTGACACCCATCAAGCTGTCCAGTCTACCAGTAAAGATTGGATGATTGTTCTACTGGGATGTCTCCAAAGGGGTCCTTTTTTTTTTAAATTGCTATGGCCTTGATCCTGGTTCTCATTCTCTCCCATCTGAACGGAAGACAGTTCTCCTGGGCATAACCTTTCCCTCCAGCTGAAACCTCTGTCCCTCGGGCCACACCAACATCTGATGACTTTTCCTAAGTCTCAGCTTCCATGACATTGCTAACACTTTTCCAAACCCTCAAACAGCTTTTAGATTATCTGATGGAACACAAGCTGTATTCCTAGAATTCAAATGTGCCTTCAAACTGATTTCCACTCTTTTTTTTTTCCGGCATTGACCCTGTGTGCTGGATGTTGTTATGTCAACTTGACAGAGGCTAAACTCGTCTGAGAGGAGGGATCCTCATTTAAGAAAATGTCTCCCATAAGAACCAGCTGCAAGCCATTAATTAGTGATTGATGGGGGAAGGCCCAGCCCATTGTGGGTGGTTCAATTCCTGGGCTGGTGGTCCCGAGTTCTGTAAGAAAACAGGCTGAGCAAGCCACGAGGAGCAAGCCAGAAAGCAGCACCCCTATATGGCCTCTGCATCAGTTCCTGTCTCTGGGTTCCTGCCCTGCTTGAGTTCCTGTCCTGAATCCTTTTGATAATGAACAGTGATTAGGAAGCGTAAGCCAAATAAACCCTTTCCTCCCCAACTTGCATTTTGATCATGGTGTTGCACCACAGCAATAGCTACCCTAATTAAGACACCCTGTGTATGTGACTTCCATTTCTACCAAGTGTATGGCTTTGTAATAGCATGTACTCTGAGCCCTTGCCATCTTTGTATCTACATTAACCCTCTCTATTGCTAATAAAATCCTACCAACTGCAGGGCAGTGGTGGCGCATGCCTTTAGTCCCAGCACCCAGGAGGTAGAGTTAGGAGTTCGAGGCCAGCCTGGTCTACAGAGTGAGTTCTAGGACAGGCTCCAAAGCTACAGGGAAACCCTGTTTCAAAAAATAAAAACAACAACAAAAATTCCTACCAATCATCAATCATTTGATATATCTAGTATACATAAGCATCACCTCTATCAATCACAGGACCAAGTCTTTGCTCTACTCCCGGTGATTTCTCCTCCCCTTCAGATAAAGAGATGGCCTGTGAGTGGGCCTGGCACAACCCTAAGGGATGCTGTCCACATCAATATCTGGGGTTGTGACAAGTTCACATCTTCTATATTCATGGCCTCATCACTTTTTATTGTGTATCCTGCGCATACTCCATTAGCTATTTCTGAACTTCGTAAACTTACTTACTTCAAAATATGATTCTGTATTAGTGCTTTTTTTTTGTAGGCCATAATTAACACGAGCACACAACTATGCTATGCTGTTGTGCATGCACCAATGTACCTTTTACAGTTTGTTGGAATAACATTGTGAGAAGAAAAAAGAACACAATTTCCCTATAACGTACCAACATAAATGAAGCTTTTAATGCAAGTTATCTCTATCTTATTTCTCTCTTTTAAGCTGTATTCCATACAACAACCCCAGCTGTTGTATGGGTAGTTAATATCATCTAGGTGACAAAGTCAAATTCTAGTGTAATATATAATTTTTCATGTTTGATGCCAAATAAACACAACTTTGACACTTTAAAAAAAAAACTTGTTTTGTTTCCAGCTCATCATTTAATTCCTTCCACATTATTTCCTTACTTTTAAAATATTACTCTTATTTTGGTCTACAAATTTTATTTCCTTCGGAGAATTAACTATTCAATGTTTTCCCTTCTGCCCGGTTAAAATAATTTAAGCCTCACCAATTCATTCGTTCAACAAACATTCACCAAGAATCCATATTGTCCTTTCAATGTGCTCAGTTCTGGGGATATGGCGTGAACCAGACAGACCCTGTTCCCGTCCTTGCACGTTACAGGACCAGTGGAAGTATGCATAACTCCTTTGATTATGTTTGTTCTAAAATGTCATCAATTCTTTTCCTCCTAAGTAGTGGCTTGGGTTCCCCCATCATAATCCAAATGTCACAGGGCAAATGCCACAATCCCAACCACAGGATCAAAGAACTAGGTACCAAGACAGGATCCCTGAAATGCAATCCCCAAACCAAACAACAGTGGAAAGCACCTGAGCTTTTAGGATGCAATTAACCCTTTAAGGTGAGGTGGTGAATGACTGGCGTTAAGGACGTGAATTTCAGTTATGAGAAAGACACAGTGATGTTTGTGCTGGGTCTAGAGGAAAGAGAAAAGGTTTCTAGTAAGAACAATGGTTTCAGCTTAGAGAATACTGTTTTTTTTGGGGGGAGGGAAATTAATTTCTTTATCATTTCTTATATTATTAGAGAGGGGAAAAAATGAGCCTCGGGAAGCTGGGATGGGAGCAGATAAGAGCTATACTCATGCTCTGCGCATGGCAGTCAGGGGGATGGCTGACGGCAAAATTCAAACGTATATGGAGCAATTATTATCTCATGGTAAGTCCGGTTGTTAAAAATGGTCTTTTATACCAATCAAAGTGAGTTATTAGAGCAAGACGCAGAGACTATGACCCAGGGTCCCCCCAGGGAAGATTCACTCTGGAGAGATAATTTTGGAATCTGGGACAGAGTGACAGCTGGAAGGACAGTGACCTGTAGGGAAAGGAGAGAGTTCAGCTGACACTCTATCTGAAGTAAGAAGCAAATGGTCCTCTGACACGAAGGTGTGGAGGAAGAACTGAGGCTCTGGGGAGAGAAGCAGGCATTCGTACTAGCTGTGGGAAAGGCACGTAAGGCTCAGAGAGCAGTTATTAAGGACCAGGTACCGGAAGTGAAAGTGAGTCAAAGGCTGAACTGATACTGGATTAAGTTGATGGCTTTCTGGGTGTCCCACCAACCACGTCTCTTCCTGAGCGCAGGAAAAGTAGATAGCATGAGAGATAATGAACATCTGTCCCTTCTTGCCTTGCCATACTCTTCTTTCTTGTTTACGGATTCAGTACACCAAGCAGGCCTGCACCAAGCGACGTTTTGCCTTGACAGTTTTGTTCTGACTAGGAGACACTGATTTTTTTCTTTAAATGGTAGGAGAATAGTTTGGGGTTTTTCTCTTTATTAAATATCTACAAATGGGTCACTAGCATTTGATAATAGTCAAATTGGTTGTATTTGTTGTTTCTTTATTATTTTATTTTATTCCTAATTTGCTCTTTTCCTTTTACTCCAAGTCAACCATCAATGATTCATATTTGATGTCTCTCCCATCTAAAACGAGCCCACGAATGTGGACCAAGACTCCCTACCTTTCAAAAACCTGAGAATCTACCAGTGCGAGGACACACAATTCAGCTTTGTAACAACTTCAGCCTACATTTAGACATCAGTGCCATCAAGGACATAACAATAAAGTTTTGTTTCTAAATGGTGGCGTTTAAGATCTTCTACGGCCGGGCGGTGGTGGCGCACGCCTTTAATCCCAGCACTCGGGAGGCAGAGCCAGGCGGATCTCTGTGAGTTCGAGGCCAGCCTGGGCTACCAAGTGAGTTCCAGGAAAGGCGCAAAGCTACACTGAGAAACCCTGTCTCGAAAAACCAAAAAAAAAAAAAAAAAAAAAAAAAAAAAAAAAAAAAAAAAAAAAAAAAAAAAGATCTTCTACGGTTTTCTTGCAAGGTTCTTGCAAGCTCCTACGGCTTGATTTCCAGCAACTGCAACTTACCACTGTGCGAAGGTAACAATGTTGATACATCCACAATTACACCTCTTGAAACTCTCTCTCCTTTTGTTGCAACATACTGAAAAAACAACAAGAAAAATCCTCATTTGCTTCTGGGGGGATTCTGAAGTACATCACCAGCTGGGCATTGTGAGACGCTGATCTAGAAATGCAGTAAATACAGTAGCAAAAAAAGGCTGGGCAGGGAGGGGATAACTCAAACACGTAAGAAGCTTATCTTCATGTCTGTCCTATAGGGAAGAGAGATGACATTGTCTCAACATCATCAGCTGAAATAAGTTAAAATATATATATCGATAATGTTTATATGCTGTGTCTGTGTGTGTGTTCACGTGTGCATGTGTACTGACAGACACAATAAGAGATAATACCATGCTGAAGATTATAATCGAAGACAGATAAAGTGCTGGGGTGAGAGATGGAAGAGTCATCTGGGTCAGTTACAGTAGGTTGGAAAACATTTAAAATAATGGTTTTGTTTAGCCTTAGGTAAAATGCTAAATAAACTGGTCAAAGTTAAGGGCTGCAGAAACCAGACTGAAGGGAAAAGTTGTATTAAGGCTGCAAGAGAAAGTCATCTAAAGTGTTTTGAGCAGGAAGTAGCATCACAGAGATTTACGAAGGAACACGACAAAGGAAGTATTTACAAGAGCTGGTGAAAGAAGATTCTGAGATAGCAACTCAGGCAACAAATATAAGACAGACAGACACGGGTAAAAAAGGTTATCTCCAAAGGACGTAGCCGTCTGTGGAAAAGAGAACGCAGGCAAATGTGCCTTCAGAGACAGTTACTCCACAGGGAAAGGCCAGGATTGAGGGAGGTCAAAAACAGCAAAAGATCTGGAATACACTGCACGGCAGGGGCGGCCCGATGAACAAAGATGTTCACGCTCATGCGCATGCACAGCAGGAGAAATGGCGACCCCCAAGCTCATTTGAGCACACGGTTAAGAGAGCAAAATACCTTATCTCGTTATCTTCTTCATTAATCTGTATATTTTCAACTGCCCTCGTAAGACTTGACTGTTTCTTCTGGGAAAAACAAAAACAAACAAACCAATGACGTGTACTATAGAAACAGCAGCGGTCTTCACTTGTATTGTTGAAGGCAATTAACTGCCATTTCGGGTCCTTTTTCTTTCTTCCTTTTTTTAATAATTCATTTGATTTTATTTTATGTACACTGGGGCAAAGGGTATCAGGTCCCCTGGAACTGAGTTACAGACAGGTGTGAGCTGCCATGTGGGTGCTGGGAAATGAACCCAGGTCCTCTGGAAGGGAAGCCAGTGCACTTAACCACTGAGCCATCTCTCCACCTTCCTCCCCCATCCCCTCCTTTTTCTTAAGCATGCAAAATCTTTGTGTGCAATGAAAGCAATGCAGGTATTATCAACTCAACATTTTTTAGGCTGTTCTATAAATAGGAATCAAATTAAGAAGATATGTCACAATGATTTAGCACATTCAAAATTTTAGACAAGCTTCAGTAAGAGAACAAAAGAGGTAGCATTCCAAGTAGCAGCCACTTAAAGACACTTCTGCTTGGCTTTTAAGTACAAGCATATGATTCTCACTATATTTTCTTCCTTTTCTATTTAATTCAGACCATTAAACTGGGACCCACCCCTTCAGTGTGTATTTTCTGTTCCAGGACTGCTCCAATGCACGATGAAGAATGATGGGAAGTTTTTCTAAAGCTGGAATTTCATTGAGACTCTACGTTATAGTAAAAATGATTGCCCCCACCACCACAGAAGCATTTCTTGGAAAAGAGTATATTAATCAAGTGTATATATGTTTATATAGTATGAACAAATATGTGAAGTTGATGATGGGGTGGGAAGAATAGCAATGCTCACCTTCCAGTATAAGGCTCCAAAAGCAAAGCCAATTACAAGAGAAATGAGAGCCGGCAATGCCATGGCTGTCCATTGGAGGCCCGGGTCTTCAGGGGTCTTTGCAGCTTTCCCTGTAATTCAAAGAACACGGTGGTAAATACAGCTGCTGACTTCTGGAGGTCTGCCCATTAGGCTGTGGTTGTTCCCAAAGGTTTCCGTACTGACGTGGACAATCCTTTACAGTTTTCAAAAAGCAGGCTTTTCTGTTGAATTTTCTTTTTGCAAGCAGTATAAATCCATATAACCTCTAAAAGATGAAGGCATTTTAAAAAAGAAAGAAACTCAACAGGCAGGAGACTTCAAGTGCTTAAGGTTCATGCATATTTGGAATACAGGACTGATATATTCCTGGGCAGGAGGGATTTCTACCATCAAGCAAATCTCTCTTCTCTAATCAATTGTCCAATATTATCTAGCTTTCTCGCTCTTTAGCATTCCGACCCCCCCAACTTTAAAGAGCCTTGCAAGGTAGATCAGATCCTGCATGCATTCAGCTGGGGTTAGTCTGTTGCAGAGAGTAAAGTATTAAATGCATGCTGCAGATACAGCACTTTAAGCAGCCTTAAAACGATGACGGTTCTTTGCTCATTCACAACCTCAGTACACGCAGGGGAATGGGGATTTTTTTACTTTCTACATCAGAAAGTTTGAAATGACCCGAAAAATGACCGTTGCCACCACTGTCACCCCTCTCAAGGTAACACCTTAAGGACAAAAGCCAATGGTACTGACAGCTGATACCTTCCCTGATCCTGCTTCACCTTTCCTTGAGAAGCTGCAAGTAGTTAAAAAATATATACCAATAATGTTTATATGCTCTGTGTGTGCGCGTGTGTTCAGGTGTGTGTGTGTGTGTGTGTGTGTGTACTGACAGATATCATAAGAGATAATACCATGCTGAAGATTATAATAAAAAACAGATAAAGTGCTGGGGCGAGAGGTGGAAGAGTCATCTGAGTCTCTTGCTCCCAAAGCGAACTGACTCTGATTTTCCTATAGGACTCCTTACGAAGAACGACTTAGTTACTTGGAAACCTTGGCATGTTTGCTAGCCTGGAATTTCCTTTCTAAGAAATTAGAAATTTCCAACAAATACAAGACCCACATTAAAATAGGATCAAGGTAAAGTGACAGCTTTTAGCTAACCTTATAACGGGAATTTGGTCATGAGGTCAGCTTCCAATTACTTGTTTAGCATCTGACACCCCTCTAAGGGATTACTACAAAGGAACAGATCTACTGTGTATGTAAACTCTTACTGATAAGGGGAAAATTCACAGGTTTAATCTAAATGGTAAGAAATAAATCTTATCTACTATAATGAGAACAGGAATCTGCTATTCCTCCAGCATGTGTAAAGGACGAGGAGGGAATTTCCTAATTCTGATTCCTGTACTTCCAACATCATGTTTATTTGGGAACTCCTGCACATGCATGGGTTAGAGGGGAAGCTAAGGTGTGGGTGTTCAGTATAAAATGCAGGGATTGTGTGGGGAGTTGTGGGAAGGAGTGCCACTCACTTACATAGTAATAAACCACTTCCTCAAAACAAAATGAACAGTTCTCTGGCCTGCTACATCATACAGCCTCAGGACAGACATGTTTTAGGTATCCTAGGTTGGGGACCAATATGCAATTCTCCCTCCAAAACAAAATTTCCCTTGAGTTACAAACAGATTGAGTATAACAGAAGCAGTGATGTACATCTATAAATAGACAAGATATTGTAACTGCAATTCTTACTTGATAACTGTTTTGTTATATATAATTTTACTATGAACGTTCATTTTTAATTAAACAGAAAAGGAGAAATGCTGTGGGATAATGCTTTTGTACACTGATTTAATAAAACGCTGATTGGCCAGTAGCCAGGCAGGAAGTATAGGTGGGATAAGTAGACAAGGAGAATTATGTGAGGAAGAAGGCTGAGTCAGGAGATGCCAGCCCGCCATCCAGAGAGCAGCATGTAATGGCACACAGGTAACGCCACGGAACACGTGGAGACGTATAGATTAACAGAAATGGGCTGAGTTTAAGTGTAAGAGCTAGTCAGTGGTAAACATGAGCTAACGGCTGAGCAGTTTTAATTAATATAAGCCTCTGTGTATTTACTTGGGTCTGAGCAGCTGCGGACCAGGAGGGACACAGAAAAACTTCAGCCACCTACAAGCAATTTTACCACTTTGGGAATTTCAGTATCATTGTCTACAAATAAATAATTAGGCTATCTGTGTTTGTCTTCTCTTTGAAGGACAACCAGCTACGGCTGCCATTATCTACCAGGGCCATTCACCCTAGGACGATCGTAGACACAAGTTGTGCAGTCTAAACACAACAACATTCCTTCTACAGGAAAGGAAGAGAGAAGGACCATAAAGACAAGGGGAAGAAAAGGCACAGGCGATATTCCTTTTCCAGAGGTCAATGTTGCTTTTGTTATTTCACACTTGTAAACCAGGCTTCAGTTCCCCAAGGTACACTAATCATGCCAATCCTTGCAGAGAGAGAACAGCTTTATCAGAAAAGGCTCCTTACACTAACTCCAGGGAGGACTTCAGCACCTCCACCGCAGCTCTCCACCAGAACTGGATGCCTCAGGGCCCACATGAAGAGTATTTGAACCAAAGCCCATGCCTATAACAGAGCTGTGCTTTCATACAGAGACTGCTGGCCAAGACTTTGAGGGGGGAAAAGAGAGCCAATCTAGACAGGATCTGAATCATCCTCAATCCCTGGGTAATAACTGCATGGATTATATCTCATTATTATTAGAACGTGTCCGTGGTTGAAAGAGCTTATGAACTGATTTGTTACAAATCATAGTAATCAACATCTGGAAAATACCTGGAACACAGACAATGGTACTAATCTTGCTGGGCTTCTTTGTAGGGTGTTAGCCTGCTTAAGAACTCCAAGACAATGGCTCTCTTGGTGCTTAGGAAACAGGCAAATGATTTAGATCCCAAACTCAACAGAGTCACTGCCCCACGGTCTAGCTGTCTCCATATCAATGACTAACTCTTACTAGACATTAAGTATGGCTTCATGCACATGCATACCAACTCATTTAAATTCACAGACGTCCTGTAAGGGGGGGGGGGGTTATCACACACCAGACTAAAGATTTAGAAAGCATAAGCAACTTGCCTAAGGTCACCCAGCATGCTGTCATGTGTCCAAGTATCCTGATTCATAACAGATCTCCAGGAGATGTGTACTTGATCACAAAGCAAGGCTTTCTTTCTATACTATTTCAACACTGTTTGGAAGGCTCTCAAATGTAAGTGCTCTGGAAACACTATTTTGTTTTGCATAAAGAATGGTACTATTTACTCTGTAACTATAATCCCATTCATATAAATGACAGGCCTGTATATGACTTCCCCCTACCCACTCACATCTTTGATATGTCTTGGTCCTTTGATTATCACAACTTATAACTCTTTGTTTGTTTTGTTTTTCAAGACAAGTTTCTCTGTGTAGCCCTGGCTGTCCTGGAATTCACTCTGTATACCAAGCTGGCCTTGAACACACATCCACCTGGCCCTGCCTCCTAAGATATAAACACCACCTGACTTCTTATAACTCTTATCTCTACAAACTACTATGCTTTTTTCAAATTTTCCTGATCATTCTTCCCCCAAACAGATTTATTTCCTTGATGCTACAAGTAAAACCATTTTAAACTTCTATGATGATTCACATTATAAACTGTATGTAGATATTTCCTTCATATCTCTTAGGATGTGAGCACCACAAAAGACTGTTCTACACATTGGTATCTAACTTATGAGTGACACTATATCTAGTCAAGCTGTGACATGTAAGAAAGCAAAAGGGCAAAATAAATAAAAACAGGGAAGGAGAGGAAAGCTAGAACAGGATGTCTACCTAGCTAACAACAATAAAAAGGTTTAAATAGCTTTTGGACTTCGCATCCAGGTTTTCTTGAAGTTGGTAAGTAGGAAGTTCTTTTGCTTTTAATCATGATGGTGATAGCCATCTCAAACCACAACATTATAATCCTGGAAACATTATACGAATTTCACAAATTAGCCCACAACCAGTACAAAGGTGTGATCGTTAACAGAAAGAAATAAACAAAGTGAGTGAGACCCATTACTGATCTAGTTTCTAGCTTTTGGCTTCTTTGGGCTGGGGAGAGAGATCTCCACTAAGACTCAATGCTCTCTTGAGGGATGGAAGTTAAGGGTTGCTGACTTGGGTAAGTTCAGGGTTGTACTTGATGGAAATGAACTGTGCAGATTAGAAGCATTTCAAACCTTTTGATGAGTCTCCTAAAGAGACAAATAATAATCTGTACATGCACAGGAAGACACATAACAAAGGCTGGCAGGAACACAGTGAGCAGACACACCATAGTCTCACAACAACACACAGAGGTCTGCGGCACAGAGTGTTCAGTATCCATAGTACTCTAGAGACATCTCAGAAACCTCAAACCTTAAGAATGAGGTTACCTTTTCCTTGTCCCTAACCAAGTTTTAAAACAAGCTTGGAAAAAAAGGCAGAGCTTATCTATCAGTAAATGACCCTCTAACTGAACAAAACTCAATGGCCTCTCAAAGAATGCTACGGAACCCAGAAGCCATCTAACAACATAACAGTCATGATATTCAGCATATGTTAAATTATTACTGACTGTTTATAGGGAAATAGCTGGCCACATCAGGAACACACACACACACACACACACACACACACACACACACACACACACACAAAAAAAAAAAAAAAAAAAGCCATAGAGATTAAATGCTCAGATGACAGACATCTTCAACTTAGGTGGTAAGAGTGTTAGACAAAAAAGAAAATGTCTTGATAATGAAGATAGAAAATCTCAGCACCACAGGGCGGTGGTGGCGCATGCCTTTAATCCCCTTTAATCCCAGAACTCAGGAGGCAGAGGCAGGCAGATCTCTGTGAGTTCAAGGCCAGCCTGGTCTACAGAGTGAGTTCCGGGAAAGGCGCCAAAGCTACACAGAGAAACCCTGTCTCGAAAAACCAGAAAAAAAAAAGGAAAAATCTCAGCACCAAAATATAAAGAGTAAGCAGATGGAAATTCTAGAACATAAAAAAGAAACTAGAAATGAAAGCAGACTCTGGTTGTAAGGTCAGTCCAGAGTTGGTAGAAGGAAACCTTAGCAAACTGGAAAACAAAGAAGTGAAGAGTATGTATTGAGATCAACAAATATAAAGAGGTTTCACAAAATGAATACATGGAATCCCAGCACCTGGGAGGTGGAAGCAAAGTATCAGAAACCCGTGACCAACCTAGCTACACAGTGAATTCAAGGTTAGCTTGGACTATGGGAGCTCTTTTCTTAAGAGAAGGAAAAAGAAAAAGATAAAATAAAAACAAGGCGACCTACCACAACACCAAACTGACAAAATTATGTGTGACTGGTTATCTCAGGAGAGGAACAAGAGAATAAGGAGGAAATATTTGCAAAAACTATGAGCAAACTCTCCCTAGCTTTGGGATTGAAAATAAACTTAGAAATTCAAGAAACTAGACAAAAATCCAGGAAAAATAAATACAAAGGAAGTCACCTGTCATTGGCATCTTTCACATTGCTCAAAAAATAAAAGAAGACAACATAAGGGGAAATATGTCCAGTGTAAAGTACATGAAGAAAAAACACCACAAATGATTGATTTTGCCTTTCAGATACAGTATCTGCAGAAAAAAAAAATGTAATGCTGTCTTTAAAGGAAGAAAAGAAAAAGTTACTAAGCCAGAATTTCCTATCTAATAAAAAGTACCTCTACATGTAACAAATACTACAAACATTTTTCAAATAAAAGAAAAAAAAAGATCTGTTGCCAACAGATCTGTGTTACAGAAAATGCTAGAGGGGTTCTTACTTCCTGAAAAGAAGTAATGTTAGGTAGAAAGTTGGATTGAGGAAAGAATGGAAGGTACGAAAATAACATAAAAGGTGACACACTTTTTTCTACTTGAAAGGACACATAGTCTTTTAGAACAACAGTTTGAAAACTCTAAATATGAGGGTTTATGACTTAAGGGTATGACATGTATAAACACAATAGCTTGGTTCAGGTAAGGTCCGTGTTTTTCTTGAAGTACACCAATATTAGCTCTAAGAAAAGTATCACAAGTTAAGATGTATATTTTAGTTCCCCAAATCACTATAAATAATGAAAAGAGATATTGAAGATCAAATAGAGATGACATGGATCCCTCAGAATAAAGGGACTAGAATGAAGAAAGAGAGTACAAGAACTGGAACAGGAAAGCTAGGGGGAAAGGTGACAGATCCAAGCTTAGCCACAACAATGTCATTATACATGAAGAGTTGAAATACCAGAGGCAGCTGGGTGTGGTACCACATACCTGTAATCCCAGCACTTCAGAGGCTGAGGCAGGCAGAGAGCAAGCCTGGTTACACATTAAGAATTCATTTCCAAAAAAAAAAAAAAACCAACGCATGTATGCATATTTTTGAAAAACCATAGAAACACAATATACAAAAGTGTATGGGACTCAGAAACACCAGTGCACACAAAAGAACTTTTACCCTCTAAGAAAAAAAATTAGTTTAAGATCAACAATGTAATTTTTCCAACTTAAGAATCTGGGACAGGTTGAGTAAATGAAAAGTAAGGAGGATGGAAATAGTAGCTATTAATATTAATATTAATATCAATGAGACAGGAACCGAGACAGATGCTAAAAGTGGTTTCTTTGAGAAGATGAGTAGGAAAGCTTTAAGCTGACACACGCACACAAGGCCCAGTCCCTTTCAGAAACTTGTCAGATCTGCTGTGTTACGAATTTTAGGTTTCTGGAGCCTGTCCTGCAAACACTGGACGTTGTAGACTGCCAGGCAGTGAGCTCTGGCAGCATCCTTCCACCTGATATATTAAACAACTACACTGTGAAATGTATAGATGTTTTTTAGAATGATAGACTATATATATATTTTTTTATTTTAGGTTCAGGCCAACGTTTGATGGAAAAAAATTCTGAAATGTGTACTTCAGAGATTTGTTTTTTGAAAACTCTATGAGCTCCTATAAATCTGTAAAACAATGAGACCAAAGTATACACAGTATATTCAGTAACCTTTGTAATTATTGTTGCACAGACTTGAAAGTAAGATAGTCTTCCAGGAACCTGGGTTCTTGGGTAAAGAGGACAGAAATTTTAGGGAAAGAAGTACATTCTCTTCCAACATACATTCTTAGGTAAAATAACAACATCACCAATTTTCTAAACATGCAGTAGTACATCCTGAGACACAAAACTGAAAATATCCTTGGAACTGAAGAGAGTTAGCACATGCACTTGAAATTTTAAAACTCCATTTTGACCAGGGACATTCTCCATAAAGTTGATTTTAAGCCTACAATGATTTTTTTAAAAAAAAGTCTTTATCATATATCTACAATTAATTTCATGCCTTATTTAAAACAATCTTAGCAGAAAGTTCATTGGCCTAATTCCTTCATCATTATCTTAAACTCTAGGGTAATCCAATTCTATAAATCAGATATTTAATTGTCAGGAAGACCATACAAGGAATAACAGTAACAGAACAGTATGATTAGTAATAATGTATAAAATTTCTGTAAAGTCCATGCAATACTCCTATAGAGGCTACTCGGAGCCATGCATGCATTAAAGCAGATAGGTGTACTTACTATTACTGCTACTGCTGTCATTCCTAAGGGAGCTGGCTGCAACAGGGGGTAACATAAATGGTTTTGTGACACTGACTCTGGAATCTAAATAGAAAGCAATAATGCGTCAGTGTTACATGGTGATTTATATGAATTACAGAGTCCCCAAAAGGTGAAAGTGCAATATCAGAGTATGTGCTGGGCCTGCTCCCCAAATCTAGATCATTCAGTTCCTATTTATTCCATACTCAGTCCTGCAGCTCAGTTGCATCAAGAAGTCCACCATAGTCAGTCTTGTAGAACAATGATTTATTGCATGCATACCCATGCTAAGGAAACGTGAACAATGGAAAGTTGTTGGTAATTCGTCATGTTTTAAAAGAAAGCAATGAAGTTAGTTCTGTCATAGGGACCCAGCTCAGGGAGAATAGGGATTAGAATTAACTAATAAGGATCAGAATTTAAGTCCTAAGGAAAAGATATGAGAAGTGAACATCAGGGACACTGGAGACAAAGAATAACATAATTCTACTCTACTAACAAATATCAGGTAAGAAAAAATGTGAACCACCATCGTGTATTGTTAACTCACACAATTCTTCAATTTAAAAATATTAAGTACTGTGTTTGTCTTGGAAACTGAGATATCTCTAGTGATTAATAATCATTAATAGTCATCGAGATTTGCTTTTTTTTATTAGAAAAACACACATGTTCTTACTATAGCAACACATTCAGTTGATTCAGATGTCTTGTCATTTTATGTACATTTAAACTAGAAATGTTTAAATGCCTTACCTTTCTCAGGACCTAATGTTGATGAAAGCACACAATCATTATTGTCGGATGCCACCATAAAGTCCTTGAAGGCATCAATGGATCTATTGAAAATACTAAAGAATTCTTCAGGAGTAAAGAGCCTGGCTTCTTTCGGTGATTCTTTTACATTCTAGACCAATAAATAAATAAATTAAATAAATAAGATTCCATTTTTCAAATAACTCATAGACTTGACTGATGTCCAGATAATGGACTATTGACTATGTCCTCAGAGATTCAAGTATTTGAACTCTACAAGCCAACAGTTTTGAACAGCTGTTCTACTAGACACACTCAGATTAGCTACTCAGATAATGATGGCATCAGATAAGTCTGAGACTCAACTCAGGACCAAAGCAACTAAGGAGTGGGGCAGAAAGAACAAAGAAATACAACAAGACAATGAAATGACTCCAACAAATAATTAAGAATTTACAAAAAAAGCTTATTAAAGTATGAGTGTTAGCTTTTATTATTATTCGCTTTTTGAGACATATTTTCTCTGTCTCACAGCCCTAGCTGTCCTAGAACTCCATTTGTAGACCAGGCTAGCCTTGAACCCACAGAGATCTGCCTGCCTCTGCCTCCTGAGTGCTGAGATTAAGGCGTGTGTCACCACACCAAGTGAGTGTTAGCTTTTAAAAGACGCCTCCATAACACCTGTTCCAAGAATTTACATCAGGGCATATTAAATATGGACAAGGATTTGGATTGAAGGGAACTCTTTTAATTTTTTTTATTTCTGAATTATGCGTACATATGTGTTGGGGGTGGAAGTCGTATGTGTATGTATGAGTACAGATGCCCATGGAGTCCTGCAGAGGGTACCATACCTTCTGGGGCTAGAATTACAGATGATTGTTGAGTTGCTCAACATGGTTCTAGAAACTAAATAAACTTGGACCCTTTGCCTGAACAGTAAATGTTCTTAACTGTTGAACCGTCTCTCCAGCCCCACTGGAAATTCTTATACATTGATTTAGAAATTCTACCTACAGGTAAATTCCCTACTGAAATATGCACACATATCGTAAGACAGAGAAAAACTGTAGCAGCAGTGTTTGTAACCTTTATATCAATCACTGAATGGGTGGCTTAATAAATAGTGGTATTCTCGCTAATAATGGAATACTATTTAACAGCATAAAAATCAACTATTATGTTGATTATGGAAGTTAGTGTATCTTATAAACAATACGGAATGAAAGAAACACATCATAAAAATAGTACGATTAGCCGGGCGGTGGTGGCGCACGCCTTTAATCCCAGCACTCGGGAGGCAGAGCCAGGCGGATCTCTGTGAGTTCGAGGCCAGCCTGGACTACCAAGTGAGTTCCAGGAAAGGCACAAAACTACACAGAGAAACCCTGTCTCGAAAAACCAAAAAAAAAAAAAAAAAATAGTACGATTGACTTATATAAAGCTTAAAGACTCAAATCATAGCTCTATGTCAGGAACACATAAACAATTAATATTATATAGTATTAACAGCACACATCTATAACTTCTTGGGCTCTAGTAAAAAATGCCATGGCTAGCAAATGCATATTTTTTGTTATTTGTAATGCTTTATCCAACACTGTCATTTATTAAACATCCTCAAATCCTCACTCTACATGTTATTTCCTTTGTGACAACCTTGTGATGTGTGTACCCGTTCTTTTGTGATTCCTACTTGCTATGAATGAAATGGCATTCTATCTGCAATATCAATACAATGCACGTGGATAAGGCAATGTTAAGACATTGTGAATTTCAAGGTGTGTTCTACATTCACAAATTAGAAAGAAACAACAGAAATGGTAAACTGTCATGAACAGATTATTACTATGACAACACCACCAAGCAAAGATAACATTAAGTAAGACTTGAGTCTTGGGGGCTTGAGAGCTGGCTCAGAGGTTAAGAGCACTAGCTGTTCTTCCAGAGGTCCTGAGTTTGATTCCCAGCAACCACGTGAAGGTTTACAACCATCTGTAACGAAATCTGGTGCCCTCTTCTGGCCTGCAGGGATGCAGGCAGAATACTGTATGCATAATAAATAAATAAATTTTTTTTTAAAAAGACTTGAGTCTTGAAAAATAGTTGGAGTTTGGATGAGAACAGGGAGAGAACATTTAGGACTTTAAAAAAAAATGTGTTTAGACTTCTAGAAGTCCAATAGGCTAAAGTGGCTAGTTGAGCCCCAGTATCTAATTAGATCAGTGGTTCTCAACCTTCCTAATGCTGGGACCTTTTAATACAGTTCCTCATGTTGTGGTGACCCCCAAGCATAAAACTATTTTCCTTGCTACTTGATACTGTTATAAATCATAAAATAAATATCTGATATACAACCCCAGTAAAAGGGTCATCCCACCCACAAAAAAAGGTTATAACCCACAGATTGAGAACCACTGAATTAGATTCCCGCGCCCCCCCCCCCCCCCCCCCCCCCCCCCCCGCCCAAGACCTAGTCTATTCCAGAGATAGTACTACAAAAAAACAATATCAAGATGTGTCCACATTTATTTTACCAGATCTGGTGTTCAAAGACACTCTACTGTTGATCGTTGGGAGAGGGATTGTGCCACTGTCCCCATTTTAGATATAAAGAAAGTAAAGTACAGAAAAGTTAAACTGAGTTGAACTAAGAATTTGAACCTCTCTCTTACTGTTAATTCCTTAAGTCCTGGGGTACATTACTATTCCATAAGCTCAGAAGCCAAACTAGAGTTATGTTCAGACCCTCAAGATGTATAATGTTGTATAATGTATAACAGTTATACATTATAAATGTTATAAATGTATAACAGTTGTATAATGACATGAGGAACCAAAGTTCACTATTGCTGTCACTGTGGGTTAATTACATCACTGATAACAGGGCAAGTAATCTGAGTTTTCCAAGAGCAACACTGGGTTTAAATACACCTGTAACTTACTAGAAAGGTGGTAGGAACTTCACTGAGGTATGAATAAAAATAAAAGCAAAAGCAAAATTGGTGTTAGCATTACAGTGTAAAGATACTATATTTTCACCTTAGGTGGCAATATTTAGGCCTGAATATCCATTTCAGCCTTGCAGTAGAACTACAGATTATGAACTCTTTTTAAACTATTTTTAAATTAAAAGTTTATAATTTAAAAGAACACAAAATAAGGAGGCTCTCATCCCGCCAATACCATTCAGTAGGAAAGGTCTTAAGAGATGTAGGAGAAAATTAATTCTGATGACTACCACGTTACCTTGGGTGCGTTTTCTTCCATACATTCCACGAGGTCATCCACTATTTTCACAAGCTTGTCTATGATGGAGTAATTACTCAAGCCTTCAGAAATATTTGAAAACTTGTCCAGAAGGTCAGTCAAGCTGAGTGACAATTGGACTACCATATTTCGTAACCAACAATGACTAGGCTGGAAAAGATTCAAAGAGAAGACCAAGCATCCATGAATATAGTGCAGTAGACCCAGAGGGCTCTTCAAAGCTGTCAATGACTTAGTCACTGGCTGCAGGACAAAGGATTTCCTTAGAACACAGCAGCTCAATTCTTGTCTCAATCAAGTCTGATTTAGCGTCCATTTCAAAATAAACAAAACGCTTGGAGATCAGAGGAAGTGGTAAATGATTTTGCCCTTCCACGAAGAAAATAAAGCCAATACAGAGGTGACCCTTACCCCACACAAAGTACATCTATTAATGGACTTTAATTCTATGGAAGATTATTTATGTTCTACTCACTGTGTCCTCAAATAAGCATTAGATACAGATTGGATTACCAAAAATTGCTAGGGAAGGGAGTCTTAGCTCTGAAGGAACTCTCAGGCTAATATAAATGAACCTAAAGGTCTTGATAGGTTTCAAGGCTTCTAAACAGATAGATTACATGGGTAGGGATGTGGTCTGAGATCTGAAATGAAGCACTTCAGCCTAGAGACAGTACCAGCTGTGTTATTTGTGGGAGTAAGTGCAAGGTGAAAGTGTATTTCTTGTTCAAAATTATCATCCAACCATTTGTTCAAAAACTATCTAAAATTCCAAGGTTGTGATACTGGGACACTAAACCAAGCAAGCACAACTCACGGAGCCAGTTCTGCCCACTCGTTAGATAACTACATAGAAGCTGGAATCGGGCCTAACCACACTCAGGTCGAGCTGAGAGACTCCAGGCAAACAACATAAACTCGGAATCACACATTGCACGTGTGTCTAGCATGAAAATGAAGGAGACAGTGTGGATAATTTTTAACGTAAGTTGCACCAGGGAAACACTATAAAGAAAAATTCTTGTTCTCTGTGGTACCTCTACTGCAGAGTATTCTGAGGTAGGTGGGGGTTGCTGAGAAATAATGTACTAAAAGGATATAGGAATGAATGAAAAAATGAATTAGTTAGAGCCTGGGGAACCGACTCAGTGGCTAAGAGCACCAGTTGCTTTTGCAGAGGATTCGGGTTTACTTCCCCGCACCCTCAGGACAGCTCACAAACATCTCTAGCTCCAGTGCCAAGGGACCTAATGACCTTCTCTGGGGTCCGAGGGCACCTGGCAAATATACAGTGCACATGCGTGGAAGCCAGCTCTCAACAGAAACACTTCAAAACCCCCAAGTTCCTTCTTGGATTCCTAACAAGTCTCTTTCAAAGCTGTCAGTCTTTCGTACTGATCCATGCTGTGAGTATCTTTCCTATTGGGCCACGATAAGTCAAGTAGCAGCCTTCTGAGCAAGGGCCAATAGGATATGGAACACAGCACACGCTACAATACCATTATACAGTAGCACACACAGCCTTCACCAACCTGTATAATCAGCTGCAGCCATGGAAATTTTCAGTGATAATGCATCGCCTTATTCCACGCTACCAATATTCTTGCCTGTCCTCTTAGACACAAATTCTGACACAATTAAATCCCCTTGTTTTGAAGTAAGGTGCCCCCTTTTATCCTGTGGTTGTTCCTTTTTTTTAAAAAAAAAAAGTATTCTTTCTCTCTTCTCTCTTTCTGTGCACCCCCCTGGCCAAGCCCCCTAGCTTCGGTGGAAAGACTGTTCATTCATTTCTTATTTTTGAGCTGGGGAAGTTGCAGAAGACTTACCACTCCCCTGTTCAACTCTCTTTATGACATTTTGTCTTCTTCCGTCTATTTAGTTATGATTTCTCTCATTTTCACAGACTTAAATCAAGTCTGAGTGATAGGATTTCTCAAGGTTTATCCTTTCAAACACAGGGACAATGTCTTAATAGTAAAAAAAAAAAAAAATGTCTTTGACATAAATTTATTCATTCAGCCGGGTGGTAGAGGTGCACGCCTTTAATCTCAGCTCTCAAAGGGCATAGGCAGGTGGATTTCTGTGAGTTCAAGGCCAACCTGGTCTCAGAGCGGGAGTTGCAGGACGGCCAGGGCTGTTGCTACACAGAGAAACCCTATCTCGAAAAAGCAAGAAAAAAAAAAATCATTCATTCATTTCTTTCCTTTTTATCCCCATCCCCCATCGTGCAACACAGACAAGATCTTGCTATGAAATCCAGATGAACCACCACCTTGTGATCTTCCTGCCTCCGTCTCCCAAGTACTGGCATTAAAGAAACATGACACCATACACCAGGCTTGCTAGACAATTTTCAAAGCTCACATATTTCTAAGCCCTTGTTATATTTTATTCAACGGTCATTATTGTTTGTGCCATAGTTCTCCTGAAAAGACTGCCTCTTCAACGCAGCCCTATGCATTCACTAATTTGTTTACTCAGCTAGGCAGCAGCTTTTTAAGACTCTTGGATCTATTGGAGAGACAACCAAAGTAAACAAATCGTATTCAGTGTCAGCCTCTTTTCACCTTCCCAGCACCGGGGTTGGGGGGGTAGGGGGGCCCTCAGGGGGAACCAGTCTTGACCAGAACATCAAGCAGTTTCTCTTCCTTCTTTTTTTTTATTACTTTTTAATTAAATATAGTCAATGATTTGCAAAGAGAACAAAGCACAGTGGACCAAATACTTCATTTGTGAGATGGTAGGAAGTCTGTTTCTCAGTTCTTCCAAGATTATGGTTATGAAATAGATGATTAAGTGTTGACAAATTCACAAACAAAATCCTTTCTCCTTTGCCTTAAAAATGGCATTATCGATGCTTCTTAATCTTTCCGGGGCCATTTCAAACTTTAACACTTTAAAACAAATATTAACTTACAGCAGTCATTAGAAGATAGAAATGTTCCCTTTTGCTCCAAGAATGTGAAGGATTAGGAGAGTTAGCAGTAACCCAAGATGCCAGAGACAACATGTGACTGTCACATTTCTGAAGTACATAGAATTTGACTGGTTTTTTTCTTTTTCTTTTTCTAATTCATACATATATCTATCAAAAGATGAAATTAAAACTGCTTTGATGAGGAAAGTTTGCCTGAGCTTCTCCTTGGCTCCAACTGCATGTAATCTTATCTTCCTTCCTGTTACCTTCTGGTGTGATGGGAGGTTAATTAGAGTGGGCCTGTCTGAGACTATTGGAACAGTGTGTGCTGCCTACTTCTATATATTTGTAACCTATATTCATCGAAAATGCTAATTGACCTCCCGACATTAAACCAACGTCTCTGGATTACGAGCAGATCGCTACCGATACTGATTTAGCTATGAATTTTCTTAGAGATTTTAATGTCCCGTGGGCACCAAACAACATGATTTCACTACCTGACTAAATACAAGATACTTGAAAGGCAAATATAATTATCAGCATTCTGAACACCAGGGCATATGACTGTTTGTGAGGGGCAATGATCAAAATACCCATGCTCTCCTAAAGTCAAACAAATGTTAAAAAGAAGACGCATGGATTCTGTAAGGTGTGTGATGGAACCATTCTACAGTATCAGAACTGGTCAATTTGAGCCATGCATGAAGAGAATGTAGAGATTGCTAAGTCTGGCCTATTTTGTCCTCTCAGAATCCGACACATTATTCTGCATCAGTTTCAGACGTACAGCCCCTTTGTGGTCACCCTAAGATTCATGGGATTCACAGTACACTAGGCATACTTGGAAGTTAGGTGCTTTCTTAGTGAGCCTAAATTTGGCATAGTGCCAAGGTCAGTCAGATTCTGAGGGAGAAAAGCCCTAGCTGGTAAATTTTGAATGTTATTTATGAGAAGTATTCACCAGCTTCTAATTCTTGGCACCAGCAATAGGATTCCGTGGGTGGGCAAATCTAAAGTTTCCTAAAAACAGCACTCTGTAAAACATTATGTCTTGACATGGCTAGTGCAGACTCCTGAAGAACTTAACGCCTTCTGGATGATCTGGGTTTGGGGATGACTCTGTGAGTCCTCCCCGGAACAATTCATTTGGATCTTCAGAGCTTACTCCACTCAATTTGCATTTTCTCTTTTGAATGAAAGAGATGGACAAAATACTTAATCTGACTAAGGTGGTATGCAACCCAAGCAGTATCAATACATGCTATTTCTTGGGACGGGACGATAAATGGCCTCTGAGCCAGACCCAAAATAGACAAGTGAGGACACACGGCAGGGAGGGTAGGGTAGCAGAGGCGGATCGCCACAGAACCAGTTCTTAGTTACGGTCACCTCACTTTGAATTTTAGGCAAGTCAATCCATTTAGCGCCTCCCTTCCTCTGACTGTAAAATAGAGGGATCTGTTTCATTGGTACTGGCATATGCTGGAGTCAATCCCCACCTGTGGCTACTTCTTACAACATGCACGATGAACATTTAGTGTCTGAAGTAGTAGAAGTTGTTGTAGGCATGAAATGCGCAGTGGACTGTCAACAATGAAAGGAAGGTAAAAAAAAAATACTCTATTGGTAATTTTACATTAATTGTAAAGTCAATGATTGTATTTTGCATATTGCAAGCTAAATACAATTTATTATATTCAATTGCATCTGTTCTTTTAAACTTCTCTTTTTTGTTTTAAATTTATTTAATATACAGTGTTCTGCTTGCATGTATGTCTGCACACCAGAAGAGTGTACCAGATCTCATTACAGATGGTTGTGAGCCACCATGTGGTTGCTGGGAATTGAACTCAGGATCTCTGGAAGAACTGCCAATGCTCTTCACCTCTGAGCCATCTCTTTGGCTAAACTTTTAAAAGCCCTAAACTTTTCTTTTTTAAATGTGGCTACTCAACAATTGAACATTACACTTGGCTTTTCTTTTTTTTTCTATCAGGCAGTAATTTGGTCTCTATGTTCTAAACAGGGTCTCAATCTCATTTATCAATATGAGCCTCAGTGCTGTAGCGTGAGTACAATAAAAGCCCTTTAAAACAGTATTCAAAATCCTAGTTTATCCATTTCCTTTTCTCTTTCCTGCTTTTTTCTTTTCTTTCTTTTTTCTTTTCGTTTTTTTAAGAAACACTCTCTTAAGGCAGGTATTGGTGGCATGGGACTCTAACCCTACTAC